TAACTATATTAATATAGTATATATAGTATATGTTATTTAATCATTTGATTATTTATTAGATATCGTTTAAGAATATATGTAATAATTACATATGGATACAAATACCAGTCTCTTCCCCACTCGTTTTTTATGTGCTGTTTGCATTATGCCAAGAAATCCCAATCCCCATCCACGTAAGTTGGCGTTTTATTAATGACGTATGTTGGCCATTGCAGCTTCTGTTGTTATGAGATACAGCTGGTTTACATTTAGACCTTGGAGTTATTAGTTGTATTATTTCCTTTTTTGTTTATTTTTATCAAGAACACTGTTTTGTAAAACAAAGAAATCAATGAGTTCAGGTTCACAAGAGGTTGTTACTTCCGGACTCTAATCCCATCAACTCTCTCTCACTATTAATGAGCGTCTCTCCCGGAACAGGAAGTTCAGGAAGTAAGGTGAGACCAGAAACAGGCTTTCCCGGACTCTAACTGACCGCCTGACATCATGAATCAGACTCCTCAGTGCTTCCTGGGGAGACCGGGTGTAAGGAACTGTAAAGAGAAACCCATTCGTTATGTCTTTACAACCTTCTGAAGAACAATAGAAAGTCTCAATTTTACACACATACACACACACACAAACACACACACACACACCCCATACAGTTGCTTAGATTTGTGAGTTACTATGTAGCTCTGTCCTTTTGGAAGAGCTTGTGACTGGGATCAAGGAAAAGTAAGTCGCCTATTAAAAAATCTCCCTTTCTGCACTGGGAGAAAGTGGTCTGCTTATTCACCCATCAGGACAGGTCAAATGTGACTCTAATTTACATGAGAATCTTTGGGCCTCCTGGGAGAAATCTGATAGAGGACTTTGGGATGGGTATCATTCCTTTGGGACATCAACACTCAAACAAAGAGAAAGAGACAAAGCTGTCTTCAGCCTGGGGAAGTTGCCCTCACCATGAGTTCCTGGCCCTGAGACAGAAGAAAGCAGGGACCCCTGGAACCATCTGAAGACACTGGGCATGGGAGCTGTAGAGTCTGCAGTGTGAGTGAGGACCCTCCAGCATCCTCCTACCCAACATCCTTGTTACAGGGATAGTGGGAAAAAGCAGGGTGAGGCCAGCTGAAAGGAACTCACCCCAAGAGCCAGAGAGGTAAGGAGAGAATCTGCAGGGGAGAGAGATGAGGCGCAGAATGGTCCGATGGTTTGACGGTTAGAGCCAGGGCATGAACCATCATAAAGACTGAGCCATACCTTATATTAAACTTCACAGTCAAGGGTGGAGAAAGCAAAATGGTGATTTATTTTTTCCCCTGAAAGACAGACCATGACAGTGAAGATAATTTTACCATAAACACTCCCATTTTTTGTTTATGGTTTCTTCTTTCATTCTTTTCCCCCATCCTGCTCCAGCTTGGGAGTGAACAGAAAATTAGAGTAGAAAGGAATAGCGTGCAGGGCCGAGGGGAAACATTTCGGGGAAAAGCCATTCCAAAACATTAAGACGCGTCACAAATGCAAACAGCAAGTGGATTTTGCTGGAAGACATGTGTGGGCTTTTCTTTGTTGGCACCAGGAAGTATTTGTCATTTTGTTGAGGCTTTTTTTTTTTTTTGCTAGGTGGTGAGGTTCTCTGGAGGACGGTACTCAAAACAAGGGAAAAAAATGAAGAGAAACACAGGAAGGATCATTTAAGAACTTAACATCATCATCATCATGATCATCATCATCATCATCATTTCCTTTTTTAGGGTGCCTTCAAAGCAGTCCAGCCCTTTGCCCAAAGCTTACTGGGTGGAATTCTTTTTCTTTCTTTCTTTTCTTCCTTCTTTTCTTTTCCTTCCTTCCTTCCTTCCTTCCTTCCTTCCTTCCTTCCTTCCTTCCTTCCTTCCTTCCTTCCTTCCTTTTTCTTTCTTTTCTTCTTTTCTTTCTTTCTTTCTTTCTTCTCTCTCTCTCTCTTTCTTTTTCTTTCTCTCTGTCTCCCTTCCCTTCCCCTCCCCTCCCTTCCCCTCCCCTCTCCTCCCTTTCCCTCCCCTCTCCTTTCTTTCCCTTCCCTTCCCTTGCCTCTTTCTTTTCCTTCTTTCTTTCTTTTTTTTTCCCAGAGTCTTGCTGTGTCACCCAGACTGGAGTGCAGTGGCGTGATCTCAGGGCTCACTGCAGCCTCCGCCTGCCAGGCTCAAGCTGTTCTCCTGCTTCTGCTTCCCCTGTAGCTGGGATCACAGGTGTGCACCAAAAAACCCAGTTAACTTTTTTTGTACTTTTTTATTTTTAATTTTATTTTAGTAGAGACAGGGTTTCACCATGTTTGCCAGGCTGGTCTCAAATTCCTGACCTCAAGTGATCTGCCCGCCTCGGCCTCCCAAAGTGCTGGGATTACAAGCATGAGCCACCATGCCCAGCACTGGGTGGAATTTTCTATCCTAGGTGAGCCGCCGAGGAGCTTCCTTTTGAGCTGCTGTGTGGCTGCTGCTAAGGGACTTCTCATGTGTCACAGCATTTCTGCTTAAGGAGGCTGTTAGCTTTACCTTAAACTTGCTGTGCGTCTTTAGAGGGATAATGCTTCATCACTATGGTTTCGAAACAATACCTGTATTGAGACCACCTCCCGTCTGCAGACCGCTTGGCCAGCTCCCGACCTCACCCCAGGCTGAAATGTCTGCCTCCCTGCTCATGTCCATTCCCACATGGGATTATCCTCCAAGGTGGACTTGAGAAGCTGTGCTGCCAGTGAGAACCCCTAAATGTGCAACCCAAGTTCCTCTTTATGAGATGAACAGAAAAAAGCTGAGAGCCACTAGTCTTAAAGTTCCCTGCTGTCCACTCTCTTCCTGTATCTGAGGCCTGTCCTTCCCCTCCCTGGGCCTCATGGAAGCTGAGACCACAGTGTGAAGTGCACAGGTGCCAGGAGAGAAATATGTGGATGCTCCTTGCAGAAAGCCTGGCCCTAGGTGCAATGCTGCTGGCATGTTCCCGTGCCCCCCTTGCCCGGGAAGATGAGGCTCGAGGCTAGGACGAGCAGCATGAGGGAGGGCTACAGGTCTGAGAATACCAGGCCCCGAGTTAAATTGAAGTTCTTATGTTTTCTTTAGCATATTTTGATTCCTGATTTCCCCAAACATCAGCTTTCACTGTGAGTTAATAGCTGTTCTGGATATATGCTTATTAAAAGGATAAATTTATTTCTAATTAGTAATATGCGAGCGAAAAGCCCGCTGCAACTCATAATTTTCCACATTAACCCTGGTGCACAGTCAAGGCTGCTAGGGGAAAAAGCCCATCCCAGGAGGAGCCACAACCCCACGTAGCCTCCAGAGTAAAGGAGCAGCTCAAAGGGGAGGAGTTCCGGGTTCATGGGACATTACCTCTGCCCACCTCCCATGGGTGTGTACCTGGATTCTAGGCAAGGGAAGTGCCACAGAAGACCAAATAAAAGCAAAATGAGCTTTTGCCTGTAGTGCTGGTAGGCACCAAGGGGACACAGGCCATGCGGCAGCTGACAGCACTGGTATTTGGGCAGTTTCCACGTCTCCCCCCAGGCTTCTAGTTGTTTAATCTTTGGCGTCCATTAGCTTCGAGACACATTTTTCCAATCTCTGCCTCAGTCTGAGGCAGAGATGTTATGTTCCTCTCTGCGTGCCTGTCTGTGTCTCTTCTCCTCTTGTTAGAGTGACACTAGTCACATTGATTAAAGGCCCACGCTACTCCAGTATGACCTCATCTTAACTTACACCGTGGTTACATTTGCAAAGACCCTATTTCCAAATAAGGTCACATGCACAGAGACCTGGGGTTAGGACTGCAGCAGATCTTTTGGAAGACACAGTTCAACCCGCCACAAACATGGTCAGCAATGGTGACAATCCGCCTCTCCTTCAGTCCTTCAATGCAACCACCAGGACCCTTGGCACAGACAAGACTATCCTTGGGCTCAGTCATCAGTGGGTTCAAACTGGGCGTGAGCTTCTTCAGCAGGTGTAGGCCTTCAGCAGAGTTTGGGGTCACTGATGGCACTTCTGGGGTTGCCAGCAGTATGGGACAGCACCACTGCCAACCAGAGGAAGCAAGAAGGGAAACAGTGTTGACCAAGAAGGGTAGATCTTGGCGTATACCTGTGAGACCCTGGGGTCTCTCAGAATTTTCTAGGAGAAACCTAAGACAGGTATCAAAGTTCCCATGTAGTGGAAAGGGTAGAACAAGAGGACCACTGTCGCTCTCCCTGTTCTCTATTCCCTGCGTAGAAGCCAGAATGGCCTGAGAAACATGTCACGCCATAACTGCTCCTCCCAATAATTCCCTTTTCTCTGGCTCTG